GCTTCCTTAGTATTTGCATTGAATATTTTTTCCATTCTTCCACCTACAAAACATCTGTCTCAATATTTAAAGGGTGTCTCTTGTAAAGAATATAAAGTTAGAGTTTATTTTTTATCTAGTCTGAAAATCTCTACTTTTAAATTGTAGTCCATTTACATTTATAGTACTCACTGATACAGCTATATTTGGGCCTAAAATTTGCTATTAGTTTTATATTAGTCCCATCTGTTTTTGTTTCTCTTGCCTCTCTTTTCCTGCCTTCTTTTGGGCTGAGCAAAAAGGAAAAAGGACTCATAGACATGGACAACAGTGTGTGGTGACTGCCGGGGGGAGAGGAGTATAAGGGGACTAAATGGTAATGGAGAAAAAATACAATAAAGACAAAAAAAGTACAGTTATATTATTTTTTATTTAAATAGGTTTGTATCTTTTAAAAATAAAAAATATTTACAGTTTTTAAAAAAAATATTTACCTACATACTGTGTCCAATGTACTTCTTTTCTCCCTATAAACCCGAATTGCCATCTGGTATTATTTTCCTTCAAACTGAAAAACTTCCTTTCTGTTCTCTCCAGTTCTTCAGATCTTCAGTGCACATTTGCTAGCAATGAATTAATCTGCCTGAAAATGTTTTTTTAATTTACTTTGATTTTTTTGAAGGATACTTTTACTCTTTGTAGAATTCTGAGTTGACAGGGTTTACTTGCTTGTTTGTTTTTTTTTCTTTTAGTACTTTAAATATGTCAATTTCATTATCTTCCTGAAAACACTTTTTTAAAAAGTGAGAAGTCAACCATCCTTCAAAACATGGTTACCTTGTCTATGTGCTGTTTCCCGAGACTGTTCTTTCAAGATTTTCTCTTCTACTGCTGAACTTCCCTGGTTTGACTATGATGTTCTCAGATATGGTTTCCCTTGTATTTATTTTACTTGGAGTTTAATGAGCGTCTTGGATGCCTAACTGTTTTTTCACCCAATTTAGAAAAATCTATGATCACTTCTTCAAAATCTTTTCTTTTATATTTTATTTCTGCTCTCTTTTTTGGGACTCCAATCACACATGTTGGACATCCAAATATAGGCAGTAGCAATACATAATGCGTATCTGTTTCTAAATAAACTCATCTAAGTAAATATGTAAGATTGAGTGGTTCTAAATAGTTTCCATGAAAATTTTCATGTATTTGCTGACGTCCTCTCTAAATGTATTACACTAGAACATCATCCATCAACTAATAAAAACAAAAATGAGTAGTTTTTAAGCATTTACTATGGCTAGGTACTTTGCTAAAGGCTTTATATGCATTTTCTCATTCTATATCCAGGACAACGTGATAAAGTGGGTACTATTTTCTTCATCTTACAGATGCTGGAATGGGCTCATGTAAGTCAAGTAAGTTACCCAAAGTCACTCGGTTATAAAGTGGCATGTGGAATTTGAAGCCCATGCCTGCAGTATTCTTAACCACTTCTTATTAACACTGCATGCAAAAACACTCCGTTCACAATTAATTAAATATTAGGTGCAGTTGTACGTACAGAACACATGCCTTTGTAATTAGACCAATCTCTCCCTCTCGCCCATGGTTTTCTAGGTTAGCAATAAGATGTTCAGAAACTTACAGCGTGAATGGCACTTGAAACAGACACCCCCTGCAGATGGCTACACATGTTCACAACTGCTCCAGCCCTGTTGCAGCCCTGTTTTCCCAGAAGCAAGAGTCCCGGACTGGGATACAAACAGGATTCACTGGGGTCTCCCAGAGGGACCTAGATCAGCGCTAAACAAAATACAGCCCCAGAACCAGGGCTAGTCTGCAAGCAGTGCACCAGTTTGTGGTAAAATAATAGAGAGATTGAGAGTATTTAGGAAACTTAGAGCAAACTAGACTGGCACTGCATGTCTTTTTTGTTTCACTTTTCTAGTAATCCAATTATTACTTGTATTTTACAAAACAATCAGTCTGCAACAGATTGCAAATTAAGAGGAAAAAAAAAGGTGGATCTTTTATCACAGAGTCTGAGAATATTGTTCTGAGCTACAGCACCTGGAGACAAGGTACTTGTGTTTTCTGACTCTCAGTCCTCTCATGTAATCTGCAGTTACAAAAGATGAAACAAAATATATAAAATATCTAAGTACAGTGCCTGACAGGTGGTAGAAGTGCATCCCTTTCCCTGTATTTTAACATTACTGGACCACCTATCATTATAGTTAGTTATTTTGCTTCTCTTTCCAAGTTAGAACACAAGGTCTGTGAGGGCAGAAAAACATATCATATTCATTTGATTTCTTCAAATTATCAGAAACTCAAGAGATAAGAGCAGCATTATCTTTTACAAGTGATTTTCATATTCCTATTTTAGCAGGATTAAACCTAAACCAAAGACAATAAAGGAAAAAACGTAAAACAATACCTGCTCCTTAAGACATCACCAGAAATAAAAAAAATCTGAAATACAAGAGATGTCTATCAATGCTGACAAATAGAGTAATCAAGAGGCTACAGTAAGAATATAAAATATATTTTCCACATTTCTTTCTTTACAACACAAAGCTGAAGTTTATTCTGGTGACTCTATAGCCAGAACTGGGACACTAAGTCCAAGAAGCTACAGGAATGCTAGAAGTTTGTATAACAACAAATTTTATTAAATACTGAGATGGAATTATGTAAGGCATGATTAAAAGAGTTCAACGTGAACCTTAAACAGGAGAGTTGAAAAACAGAATAGTGGTAGATGAAATACACATATATAAACAGTTAAAGACTAAAGAAAATACAGACTTTATTTAGTTTTGTGCAACTATGAGTAATGACATGAAATTAAAAGGAAAAAAAATTTCAGGAAATAGACCAAAATATTGTGAGTAATTGAGATCTATTACATTTCAGAAGAGCTATGAATGTTCTGTGTAAACAGGTCTGAACATTATTTCCATCTACAGATAGAAAAATAAAAAGCTAATTGAAATTCTAACTAATTAGCCACCATATTTACTCAGTGTGCAAACTGCACTTAAACTCAGGTCAATACGTTTATTGTGTAATATTCACACAGTTGAGCCTCTAAACGTGGAAGAGTTCCGAGAATGGAGAAACTCATGTGAGGGCTAGAACAATGTAGGCAAGACTCAAAGAGAAGGTAAGACTTAAAGCAGGCTAGAAATAAAGTTTCCAGTGGTGAAAGCTGGGGAGTGGTAAGCAGACTGGCCTGACAAACATGAAATATGGTGAACTTGCAATGCCTGGAAATGAAAAGTCCCTATAGGTTCTTCAGTAAAATATCAACAGCGAAGAACAGCTTGCACAGAAAAAGAGCTGGAAAACAGTACAAAAATATGTATGCTGCAGTAATCCAGCTGGTGAACCAGTGGCTTAAAAAAAAGAAACACCTATTTTTTAAAAAGAAAAGTAAAAAGAATTTAATTAGAAGACTAACAATCCTTACGTACAAATATCACAGAGAAGGCCCCCGGTGTTCAGCAGGCTCACTCCGCCACTGACGACTCCCACTGTTCTGCTACCTGTCTTTTCCCTTCTTCCCACCAGGGGTGTGCTCTGACCTGACTGACTTTTCTTAGCTGAGGTCCGTTATTCTGGTTCGCCTACCTGATACTCTCCAAACTGTACTGAACTACCTAAAGCTTTCCACAATGCCACGTTTAAATCACCCTGACATCCTCAAGTATCCAGAATAGTGTCCCACTCTACTACAACAGAGTGAAAAAGAAATGCAGATCACGAATAGGAGATGGGAGTAGAAAGGGAACTCAACAGTGTGGATCCACCAGGCATTCAGAATACAAAATATACCACCTGTTGAGAAGCATTTCAGGTTTCCACACTCCAGGTCTGTTTCCTCTTATACTACTCTGTCTCAAACTACATAGCAGTGGCTATCAATGGGCATTGTCCCACACACGAGAAGGTGTTCTGGAAATACTTGGGCGTGCCTTCTGGTTGTCTGAATGCTGGGGAATGCTGTGGAGGCAAGGGCCAGGGATGCGTGTCTTTTGAAACAAAAAGAACAATCACACAAAAAGCTGTTCCTAAGTCGGCACAATTTTGAAATGTCTGGAAGAACTCTGCCAACGTAAAAACCCGGCTTTTAACCATCAAGTCTTCATTCGACATACAAACATAAAGAATTTTTTGCACAGTTTTGATTGTTTTACAAACATGCAAACGGCTCATAGATTATGCTTTATTTGGAAGTTTACTATGAGCTGTTGATCATTTTGAAAAAAAATCGTATCACAGAAAGCAATGTTCTTCATAGATTTCAAATCACCAATATAGCATGTCTTTTTTTCAGTCTCATTATGGTTTTTTTCTCCCTATCTCTTTGCAGATTAATATCTCCTTTCTTAGAAAACAAATTTTCTTGTGACAGTGTAAACAACACTAACAGCAATGTTTGTCACTTCACCTCAGTTTGCTCTTGTATAAAATGAATATGCACTCTACTTAGAATGATTATGAAAACAAATAAATATGAAATACTTTGTAAAATATATATATTATGTTCTAAATGTACTTTGCAATAGAGACAAATCATAAACCATGATATTTCTCAGTAGAAATGAAATAGAAAAAAAGTCCTAAAAAAGGCTTCGTCTGGACTGTGTTTACCAGACAGCAGTGAAGGAACTTAATAGCATATATGTTTAATAATATTTAAACACTTCATAATATCCAACTCAAAACCTGCGCTGCTCCATACAGTAGTCATGCATTTGCTAAAGGGTAAAATACCCACTTGAATTTAAAGAACTTACTACTATATATCTATCGATAGATATATATATAAAAAATTAAAAATGTCATCTTTTGCTTATACTTTTTAAAGTGTAGAGCAAATCTAAAATTAAATTTTTTGCTTACATTACATTTCAGATAGACATGCTGCTCCAAATAAACACGTCACAATAAAACTGAATAACAGCAACAATACTGAATGTCAGCTATTAAGATAATAAAGAATATACACTCACTTCATCAGTGAGTTCTCCAAACACTGTTAAGACATCTATTAAAAGACTTGCAGTATAGAAGGACTTGATCATGTTTCTGGAAGAGAAAAGAGAGCTAGTCTAGTTTAAAGCAAAAACATTAAGATGTAGAATTAGGTAGCTGTAAGAAAAATTTCCAATGTTTATAAAAGCATTCTGAAATTAACATTTTAAGTAAAATCAGATTTTAAGACTATAATAAACATCTCCTGTAATCTGTTACTAGGAGAAAGTATCAACACTCTATATGAGGTAAATATGGTATACTAGGGCTTTATAGTGTACTGTTGCTTTTAGATAATGTAATTATAGTATTAGTTATATGCATATAAAGCCATGTGCATTTCTTTACATTTAAGTATCATTATAATAGTGACAAATCATTTGAATTAGTGCAGTGGGAATTCTTAAAATCAGCATCATAGAATTAGGCTGTTTTCGTCTAAAATCAACTTAGATCTTGAGAAATATGAAAGAATGGCTAGTTAAGAGTATATTTACTGAAAACATAAATCTGCCCTGTGTCAGAATCATCCTAAGATTCTAAAAGTAATTTTAAAAAATCTGAATCATTAATTAGGAAGTCAGAAAGTGTTCAACCAAAATTGGATAGTGACTTAGAGTACTTTAACGTATCACTTGTATTTTCCTTTTGCTTTACTTACTTGTGAAATCGTGCAGCCCGGTCTTCATTATCTGCATACAAAAACATTTTCAAAGCATAATTCTCCAGATGGGCACAGCCAACTATTTCTTGACTAACAGCTTCATTATCACCCAACTGTTTCTTAAGCTAAAAGAAAATCAAATACAAACTTTATAATTTTGGACTTCTTACAGAAATGTATACTTAAGTACAAATTATCCCAATAATCATTTTAAGTATTTTATATTTATTTCAGTAAAAGACATAACAATGAACTCTTGCAAAGAAAAAAATTGCTCTGCCTCTGCCCAAAATAATTAAAACAAAATCTAACGTCCACAAAATTTTAAAGGAACATGCATATGAAAACCTGAAAGTATAATTTAGCTCTAAAAATCAAAATAACCAAGAATACAAATATACCATATCCAAGTGTTTAAAGCATCACAAATATTTCAAAATAATATATTTCAATGTACTATCAGGTATCCTAAAAGTGGAATTAGAAAATTCTTTCCTAACCATATATAATTTAAAATTTTAATTTATTCCCATTTCAATTTCTTGCCAAATTAAAAAAATAAGATTAAAAGAAGCACTACATCCTAAAATACTATCTCTCATAGCACATGTGTAAAAAAAAAGAGATGTCTTTCCAAGTAAGGTATATGAAGTCTGTCCAGAAGGTATCCAGCCATGTAAAATGAAAAATAGAGACATTTATTGAAGAATACAAGATACAAGATACAAGAAACACTGTACATAGGACAATGATGCCTCGGTGGTTCCCTTCAAAGTCGGCATCTTGGGACCTCACACAGTTCTGCTAATCATCAGCTGTCCTGTCATATTTTCCTGAATCTCATTCAAGGTCTGAAATCTCTGCCCTTTTCAAAGGTGATTTTAGTTTTGGGAAAAGCCAGAAGTCTCAGGATGCCAAATCTGGGCTGCAGGGGAGCTGAGTCACCTGGGTGATTTGATGTTTTGCCTAAAACGTCTGCACAAGACATGATGTGTGAGCAGGTGTATTGTCATGACGAAGCTGCCAATCACCAGTTACCTACAGCTGTGGCCTCCTGAATCATCTGAATCGTTTCCATGGAGGAATGTTCAAGCTTAATGCAAAATTTGATGCAGATTCATTGCTCTACTTGCTTAGGCATTTTGAAAACAAAAGCCACACAGTACACATGCTCATTCAACAGCATCTACTGCCCGCTGCTGACTAGTGCAGTGAGGTTGTCATGTGTGAACAAACACATGTATGTTCCAGTCCACTATCCTTGGTTACATCGATGTTGTACAATCTGTTCTCGTTTTATTAATGTTCTCGTTTTATTAATTTATTAATGGCTAGGCGTTTTCCAGACAGGCCTTGTAGGTGACAAACTTAGAGAACTGGATTATAGATGTTTTTTTATAACTTAGACAAACATAAACCTCAAATTAACACAATTTATAACTGTAAATTTTTAGTCAGTATATGCCTTTTTCACACATACTATGAAGTATTTAAAAAACAAACTAAATTCCTACATTTTTCTCAGTGTCACACTGAAATAAATGACCTTCTGAGATATTAAATCCTAGCACCATACTACTGTTTCAAAATTGCTTTTCTTAAAGACATTAAAAAATAAAAAGTTATATTTAAAAAAGACTTTAGGATTTTTCTTTTTTAAATTCTGGTATTTTTTTAAATTATTATTTTTTTATCCTTACCCAAGGACATACCTACTGAATTTAGAGAGGTGGTGTGGGGAGGAGAGTGGGAAAGGGAGGTGGTAGCGGGGAGAGAGGGAGATGGAGAGGGAGACAGAAACATGGATGTGAGAGAAGCACATTGACTGGTTGCCTCCTGTATGCACTCTGACCAGGGCTGAACCCACAACCCAGGCAGGTGTCCTGACCAGGAATCGAACCCATAGCCCTTCAGTCCATGAGATGACGTTCCACCTGAGCCACACTAGCTAGGGCAAGATTTTTCAAATTTCAGCAAAATAAAAATTCTCATAATTACAACAGAAAAAAATTAATGTCCAAAAGGGATTTAATGTTGGAATTGATGTTGCTTAATACAACTAGGCTTTGATCAGAATAACTTTCAACATTTATAAATAATATGTGAAATTATAATACATTGGTATCTCTCCATAACCTGTGAAATTCAAGGTGACCAAGAGCTGGAGAAAGACAGGAGAGACAACTGATACTTACTTCATTGTTCTTTTGACTAAATAAATATCCCGTTTCAATCATCCATGTGATTGCATGAGGGAAGGTTAGAAAGGGTTCATCACTTATGAATGGATGACTCAAACGCCATCTATAATAATATGGAACAAGATATAATGGTATATGCAAAGATAATCGGACCTATTTTGAATTTTGCTTCCAACTCCCATAGCAGTACGATAAAATAAAAACAGAAAAGATTAAAAAAAAACAAACTGTCTATTTTTTCCTCAGCTATAATAACATTGCTAATTGCTGCCAAGGGAAAGAACTAAAATGACAACACATAAATACACAAATGAAATAAAAAGCATTTTAAACACTAATCAGAAAATAAATTATCACTGTTTAACTTACAGCTTCTAATTGATCCATTAGCTTTGATAAAAATTTTCGGCATTCAGGAGTTTTACTGTCAATCTTCATTCCAGTTTGCATTGCATATAAACGGCCTACAAAAAAAAAATGAAATGAATCTTATTTACAAATATAAAGAACAAAAAATATTGTTCTAACAATGCAAAAGATTCATGATGATGATAATAAATTTTTACCATGCATTTTCTTTTGGCATGTTAAAAAAAAAAAAAAGACTAGGTCCTAAGCTGTCAGAGGGGCCTGTAATTATTTAGTTGGTAAGCTGGGTCACTCAGAAAAAGAACACACATGTGGAAGACCACGTACCAAGTGTCAGATAAAAGCGGCTGATAAAAATATAGTATGTGCTGGAATAACGGGAACTGTGATTTGAGTCGCAACTGACAAAAAGAATTGTTTGAATCATTTTTATGTATACCAATAAAATGTACTCCCTTTAAAAAAATAATGAAAACATTAGAGATAAGGCTAAAACTAAAGGCTTCTCTAATAGCTTTTCCAATGACAAAAGCTGTGAACAGTTTGGTGATGATTGTTTTTACCACTGGTGTGTACATGTATCATCTGTAATTTATCTCTTACATTCACCATTACATTTTGGAGGTCTGTCTATGTGCTACAGTGCTCCACAGTATGGAGACACCATTCTAACTAAAGCATATGTAGGTAGTTCTCAGATTTTAATTATTACAAATCATGTTGCCCTACCATAATTTCGTGTGCATACATCTGAGAGTTCCCTGAAGTAAGTATCAAGAAGTGGAATTCCCGGGTCATAGTATGTATACCTTTTTCATTTTGACAGCTACTTGTAAACTGTCCCCCCCAGACAGGGTACTTGTACTAAATATAGTTATATCTGCAACATATAAAAGCACCCATTTTCCCCCAAATCATTAAAAACTGATACTACTAAACTTCCTGCCAATTTCAGGGTTGAAAGTGGTATCTCATATGCTTTTGCGTTGTCCTGTTTACTAATTAGGTGTGTATTGGATAGCCCTCCTTTATGAATTAGGAATATCTATCAAAATAAAACAAAAAACTTCCACCAAATTTTCTATTGGGTTATTTGCTTTTTAACAAATTGGCCTGTGGTTGCACTTTATACAGTATGAAGAAGGAACATAATGTTTTTTTCCCCAAAAAGGAATCTTGTGAACACTATGCTCATTCCCTGTTTTACTTTTCTCCTCATCATGTAATTATCTTCTATTTATTTATCCTGTCTCTACTTCAACTAGAATTTAAACTCCGCGATGACTACAATTTTAGTATTTGGTTCTCATCTAGACTAGTACTTGGCCTTCTAGAAACATTTTCTGAATAGATAAGAGAATAGCTCATTCTGCCCCACTGATTTAAATGCCACATTTATAATTCATTATCATGTGTTATCTTTCCATGAGATAAAAGGGTCCAATTCTCTATATTGTTCATGCTGCTTCCTTGGTCTACCTGGTCCTCTGGGTCAATTGCTGTTTTATTTACTAGTTTATAACATAGCTTGGTACTTTCAGGATTTCCAATTCAATGATGTCTACCCAATCGTATCTTCTTTCAAAATGCATTAATATACTGTGCATATTCTGTGTTTTTAATTTTAATAATTTTATCTGAAGGAACTTCTTTTTAATGCTTAGGCTTTTAGGGCTATCTTATGTTTTAGAGTTTAAGGTTTAACTTATTATTGTATTTATTCCCACAAATCTAATTTAAGTGTTTGCTCCATCTAGGGATTAACAAGAGAAGAAGAAAATGGAGCTCCAAAACTACTGTACAGATATACACTGCCCCATAGTATAAAAAACATGGTGCTTTCATTGTGCAGTACCCAGCACTGGGTATCACTCTTGGCACACAAAGACAGACAAATGCTAATTTAAAAAGCAAAAATAAGCATTTTTGTTTAAATATCCATTGCTTTGATCACAAGTGTGACCAAATTTTCTGTCTTTTCTCTTTCGTTATCTAGTCATACTTCTTTAGCAACTTGCCTTGGTCTTTTTCCCATTTACCTGCCAGGTTTTAAACACCCTCATTCCCCCCGGCCCCATTTCCCCAGGTCTTTTAAGGTGAGGTGAATGCCCTCCCCTTTTTAAACTAGTCGTACTTCTTTTGACTTGTTCACGTTCTGTGACTGTTTTAGTCAGCTCTTTTTTTCTTAAAACTGATTGAATTCTCCAACACTTCTTTGTGAGCTGTTAGGTCTTTTCTTCCACTAATTTTGTTGCATTTGTTTTTTTAGAGTGCATCATGAGTTCTTTGGATAAATAAACATATAGGCGGTAAATACTAAGTCATCTTTCAATTTGCATGTGGTTTTAAAATACAGAGGCTGCAAATACATACTCAAAGTTACTATTCCTTTTCCCTATCACTTCTAAGGTTGGGACAGTCTTTTATTTCCAGGGACTAAATATTTAATTATATGATTTTCCTAGTCATTCTTATGGTTTAATTTTTCAAACTTAACTCTTTAATCTACTGTAACTTGCATTTCCCCCTAAGTTATTGGCACCTGTCTCAAAAATCACTTAATAATCCTTCCTAATTATTTGTGATTCCTTCTTTAATATACATAATTTAACTTTTTGTTTCCCATTTGACTTTGCTGAAATCTCAGATCAAACGTCTTCTTATATAACATCTAAAAATGAAAATATACTTTTTCTTCCCCCTAACTTAATCTTACTATGTCTTATTGTATTACCAATTTTCTAAGGAATTTTAAGTGTTATTACTCCTATTTTTAAGAGGAAGCCTTTTAGTTAGAGTAGGAATTGTTAAAATATAAAGTGAGGCATATTGAAAAAATTAGGAATTACTGGAGCCGAAATCAATTCAAATAGGGTAACGCCAGGCTAACAGTGGTTAGGAGCGCTCCACTGACAGAAGCCAGGGGAAAGGCTTCTGTAGAGAAAGTGCAGAAGCAGAGAGGGAAAATCATCTGACTGGCTATAGCTAACGCCTCCTTGGCTGCCTGTCATTGGCTGGCCTTGGCATTTTGATTTGGTAACAGACATTTACAGGCTTAGAGTTGTTTGCCTGCATAGGCTGCCACAGCATTAGTACCACATCAGTTGAATGGATTCCTGTTTAATTAATTTCATGCAAGGTTGCTCTTACTTTCCCTAATAGAGCCACTCTGCCTTAAGCTATATTGAGGCTGAAGCCTTTGAGACCCATATAACTCCAGGAATTGGCAAAACAATTGGATGGGGTGTGGGAAAAAACATCAGTAGGAATGCTGGTATTTTGACCTTAGCTTTTTAAATTTTCTATTTGTTATAATCTTTTATAATATACAGCATCAGTACACTCATACAATTTATAAATAATTTATATAACATATCAGAGATTTGTGTTTAATGTTTTGTTTTGTTTAGAACTCATGTAGATAGGTGACCAAAAGCTTAAGAATCAGGGTTCACTGCATTCTCATTCCTTTTAAGTCTAAATGGTATTTTCTTGCCCCAACCTAGCCCATGCCTCTTCCCCAAGCCCCCATTCCTTCTACTGTATCCCCTGGCACTACTGCTTCATAATCCTCTCCTCAGATTCCTTCTCTCTATCTTAACTAAAACCTGAATGTCACTTCTAGAAGTCATTTGCAGTCCTTTCGAGTACTAATTTTTAATTTCCTTATATTCCTCCTATCCCAGGACTGGCAAGGATGGCTCGTTTTCTCTTTGTACTCCATAGCTACTTACATTCTGGTATTTTCTCAGTGTCTTCTAAACGTGCTGGTCTATGGCTCATGCCACCCTCTTCCACTTGCTCTTGTTATGCCTATAATCGTCCACAGACCTCTCTGTTCTTCCAACACAATCCCTGTGCACACAGACAATCAATACTTTTGGCAGAGACTGCAAGCTGCCGTTCCACATCCATTCTTCCCATCTTCCTTACAAACAAGATGATCTTAGGGAGCTGTAATGTGCCCAGCCAAAACAGTACATTTCCCAGTATTCCTCAAAGCAAACTATAGCCATGAAAATAAGACTAATATCATTCAACGAGAAATTGTTAGGAGAGACTTCTGGAAAGTCACCTTAAAGTGGGAAATGATGGCAGGGGCACGATCTCACCCTTCCCCATTTCTCTTCCCTGCGGCCTATAAAAATGGGATGACTGAAACTCTAGTGGACACCTTGGCACAAGCAACCTTCGAAATAGTAACCATGTGTTTGTTTCTAGATTTGAAATGGGAAAGAATGGGAATCCCTAATAATTTCATGAAATTTTCATGCTGACACTGAGTACTGCAAGTATCAAACTTTCTTTTAAATGAGGAAGTATTTACCTTAGTTATTTTTATTTTGGATTTTCTGTGATTAGAGCACAAATCTAATTCTAATGCATAGCTGGTGCCAACCTCTTTCTTCCTATTGGCCCTAACCTCCAGTAATTGTATGTAGTCTCCCTTACATGCCATCATTCCATAATTAACTTAACATTACACACCCCCAAAATCAGCACATCAAGCAATCACTCTAAACAGACTATCCTTTTTTCCCCAACATTCAACAATGCCTATTAAGCCCGGCTTCCAGTTCACTAGTGTCTCCTGAACTCTCCGTGACAGTCTTATCTCCTTTAATGTCCCTCTGCAACCAGCTCTGATTTTACAGTATATTTTTCTAAAACATTGCTGCCCCTGACTCTTTCTGCCCTCCTCTGGTGACAGCACGCCCATTCATAAAGCCGTCTATGCACTTCCTCTGCGCCTCACACGAGCAGCAGAGATCACTGGCATGTTAGTATCATACAAAGAGCATAATTATCAAGTACGTTTAATGCCTGCCTTCCCAATCTCCCAAATGACTATTTCAAACAACGTGTATCTCATTAAAACAATCTCACCCAAAAAGTCATAGAAAACTTATGACATTATTTGCTATCTATATATAATAGTGTCCAACATGATAAAACATGATAATATTAAGTACTGTACTCACATGAAATACAGTACCGACATTTTCATTTCCTAGTCCTTTTCCTTTATTTTCTAACCATAGTAGTGAACACTATGCGAATCCTACCATTCAAAGAGTAGTCAGCGACTTGACAG